GCTACCTCGATACGACGTTGACGGCTTTCCTGGCTTGAGAGAAGAATTTTACAATTATGTTAATTAAAACTGTGATGCCAGTGAACAGAAGTTAATTTCTAATCCCCTGTATGTAAATCAAATTTACAAATTTCTGATGTACAAAACAGTAATACAATAAATTACTTTAAATTTATTTATCAATTTATAATAAAAGACTTTGTTACGCTGGTTCTTTGATGATCCACCCGAAACAACATAAAAGATCTATATAATGCAAAGATTACATTGCAAAACATGCACCAGACATGCACTTAAAAAATTTCTGAATAAAAACGCCGTAAAAGTTAATACCCAAATGAACTGCTTATTGACGAAATAGATTAAATTCACACATTAAAAAGTGTTGATTTTTCAAATTACCCTTTAAATGGGAAATTAAATAAACACTATGGAAGATATTGTACTTTATTATTACTGGTATAATTTTAATTTAATCACCATATAAAATACATGAAAGAATTTGTCCTTCAAATAATATTAATCGTTATTGCAATTTTTACGTGGTCAAAAGAATTTTTGTTATATTGTGATGTTAAACCCAACAATAGGAAAATTTATTTTAAATATAAAAGATGAAAAGACAATCGAGTTTTTTGACGAAAAAGTTTAAAAAATTCAAAGGATGAAGTTAATCAATTTGACCAAGAGCGGTTCAAATGTGGAAAGGGTGTGTGAAGGGTGACAGGTAGCTCGACAATGGGTGCACTGTTCACGGTCAGGAAGGAGGAAACTTTAATCAGATGAAATTTACTATAAATTGGAAGAATTTAAGCTTCTACTGCAATACTTTCATTTAAAGCTACGATTAAGATATTCTGGCCCAATAAAACAACTCTCGGGAAATGTATTATAATTTCTTATAATTTACGTTATTATGTCGTACGCTCGTACCGCGGAATATGGACACAGTATATGCTCGTAAAGATGCTCTACGAATTTTGTACCCGTCTAAGAAGGACGGAGTTAATTTTCTACGATGGCCCCTTTAAAATATCTCGCTCGTTTCTCCACGTAAACTCGCGCATTCGATATAATTAAAGCGCTAATAAGACTGTCCAACATAAATTTTTATTTAGGGTAACTGACTTTTATACAGATTCTCGTCCGAAACTCGAGTTCGGTAGCAGAATTGCTCCATTATTCTTAGTTCTTGAGAAATTACGGTTTAGAAACGAAACAAACTATATGTTTTACGAATCATTTAAACATAAATGATAAAAGCCATACCATCATTCGTTGCAAAAATTGATTTCGCAGATTCTACCAAATAAAATGATACAATTTTCATAACATTATGAACTTTTAAACCTATTTTTCATAGTCTTATAGGTACCTACTTTTATAGACATTTTATAGTTTATTTTAAAAAGGTACCATGTCAGAGAACCTTTGTTCGTACAGAAACGAAAGAAAATTATAACAGAGATTTAGTTTCCGATTTAGAAAATAAAATACTTCCGCGAGACACAAGATGCTGCAAGTAATCCTTGACGCCAGCGAGCACTTGACGTTCCCCTTAAGGGAGCAACCAACGTTACGCTGAGAGGAACATCAAGAGATTGTTCAAATAGACAATCACACTGGTGAAACTTTATGACTGTAGAAATATTTGATGGTGCAATGAACATACATTGACTATACAGGTACTCTGATTAATTGTATTGAATTATTAATAATTCAGTATACTATATCTATCAATTCCCAACTTAATAATCATTCAGTATTAATTCAATTTTTTTGTGAGAAATTGAGTATCGTATCGGTCGTATCGGTTATCGGCTCGCCGAAATTTTTCAAAATTCCGCACCATCAAGAATAAACTTTTTGCCTACGAACCTCAGATGAATTTTAATGCTCAACACTATTTCCAACGAAGATGTCAAAAGATAATTTTTAAATTTTAACTTAAAATTATTTGCTCAGTTTAATCATTTTTGCTGAATTGAATTTTGAACATTTCCTATAGTTAATTTTATAATCGTTATTGGAAAAGTCGAAAAGTCAACAGAATATACAATTAAACTTGAAAAATAATTGTAAGTTAAAAATTTGAAAGGTATTTCTTTACGCCTTCGGTAGAAATAGTGTTAACGCTAAAACTACCGAGCAGTGAAATTGACTATTTGAAGGTTTTCTATAGAAACTTTCTAAAGATTTCTATTTTTAGAGATTTCTAAACTTTTATTCTATTTCTACTAATTTAAAATTGTATTTGCGTATTGCTTAAGTAATTTCGTGGGTAATTTCTCAGAGAATCATGTTATCCTCCCGGTAATTGCAAAAAGAAGAAATTACAAATAAACCATTTTGACCTGTCTGGTAATTTTAGTGTTAATACGTGTATAAATATTCACTGCATTGTGATACATACATATACTTTCCGAAAAAAAATTCTGCTATCTGTGGAAAGTAGTACCATATGTAAAACAAACTTACCATGTAACGCATGCTTAGGAAACTACCGTACAAAAGTATCAGTAACTTCACTTTACCTAGGTCATCGTGATTACAAACAGAATCTGCAGCAAGTAATATTACTTAATTGTTTTCTTAGTACACGTGTGGGATCTATCGGCAATTTCTAGAGATTTAACAATCTGTCGGCCCGACTTAATTGAACCATTTCAGTTTCCTATCACTAGTCGTAAATCACGTAATTCGGATCCATACTGCGAGTAATTCAATTCCAATGTTCTCGTGCTAATCCGATTTTCGGAGCATCCTAATTTTAGATGGAATTATACAGCAAATCTTGCATGCGTTTTATTTGTAATAGAAACGTATTCGCATACTTGATGAGTACAAGCTTCGATGCTTGACGTCGATGTTTGAAGACAAACATCTATGAAGGCAAAATCGATTTGGTCCTAGTAGTGCAATTTATTACTCGTTAATTTCGCTGGCATTACTACACTAAACTGCGATCGTTCAGTCACCTTTGCAATAATAACTGTATTTACTATTCACGTGTTAATTTTAATAACTTCGAGGAAAATCACCTATTAACATTTAAGTCAATACTTGCTGAATACTAAATCTGGATTACGTAGAAGCTATAAAGTTTCAGATAATAATTATAACTAATTTTATAATAATTTTTTGAATGTGTAACAATTTCAAAAGAGAAATCTTATATCCCTCCTTGCATTTTAAAATTTGTAATAAATACATATAAGTAACATACACTTTCCATTCATGAAAAGTACGAGTTGAGATTAATCTGAGTTAAGGTGGAGAGCCTATGAACATGCTTGAAAGATCTCGCTTTAAAATAGGAACACTTAGGTTGATTACTTGTTCAATATCGTAGATATAACTGAGTGTAAACTTGGCGATATAAAACTCCTAGTGCACTCTATATTGACTACCAACAGTTTTAGAACTTCATTTTCTTGATGGAATGACGAAGCAGTTTAGAACGGAACAGAATGTCACTGTACGGGGCGAGAGTTCTTTTCTTAAATACAGGATATCCGGTAACTGGTGGTACTACTGGATAGGAAGTGATTTTACTTGAGAAAATAAGTTTAAATGAAACAAGAAAAATTGTTTATGTAGAGGCTTATTACACGCCTTAATGATTATTAATGCTAGATATATAAAACCCGTCAATTTGACGAATATTTAATTTTATAAGTAAATTTAGTAAAATTTTAATCCAATTTGATTGACGCAACAGTGCAAATATATATCTTAATTCTTTGTTGCTTTTTTTTAATCTATATGAATGGATACATATTTTTTGGGAATACTACAATGGAACGTACAATAAACATCTTTTAATAAGTATTATGAAATATTTTTGTTCCGACACGGTTTATTTGGTTAAGATACATATCATAAAAAAATGGCAGCTCAACGGCCTAAACCCCGAGCGCACAGCCACCGGTACCTTTGCAGGTCAGAAGGGAAGACGTACCCCCTACCTTCACTACTAGTAATGTGGGCGTAGGTTAAAAAACGGCAATTAGCAACACCTCGAGCATTTTAGCCTTCTGATTTGTCACTAAGGACACCGCTCCATATTAGTATTTTTATATATATAGAGAGACATTGAGATACAGACGGACAGACAGACATACATCACAAATTCATTACTATTCACGCTGTACTCACTGGACAACACATACACTGTAACTTTGTAAACACATACACATTCCTTTCACTCAATATTAAACAAATACAGTCCACTTTCGAACGAGAAAAGGAGAAGCCTTTTTTCATCACATCTATTTCACACAAGGTTAATTCGGCGTGTGAAAGTGTTACGCCACGTCCACTAATACAGCCTGGACAACGTGCACGAACAATTTTGATACCAACGTTTTAAAATACAACTTGAATTTTTTAACTGACGCTTTCTTTTATGTCTAAAATGACGTTATTTTCACTTGAAAATAATACTCTTGATACTATTCATGAGAACATATAAATATCATTTCTTAGATCACAAATCTATAGATTTTAATGATAGGTATTAATTAAATGCGATACTATCGTAACTCCAACTTAGTTGGTTGAACTTCGGATCTACTTAATACTAATTTGTAATGCACGGGCATATAATGCAAATAAATCGTTTTTTCACCGACCTTTCACTTCTGCCGTTTAATCGATATTTTTGTTCTGACTTCTGCCGTTTAATCAATCAATTAGAGTGATTAGCACGAGCCTTCCACAGATTTCCAAACATTTCATTCAAAAATTAAAGTTCTTTTGGTAAATTGATAAATATAGGATAATTTGCGTATCACATCAAAAATTACAGACTTAATATATATGAGTGGATGATAATAAAATTAACATATCAATCAGTCACACTTTGTATCTATATCAAATAATACTATATATAAATAATTACATATTTTGCATGTCCTTTAGTTTACTAACTTGAAAATCCTTTAAATAATTATTTACATATGCATAAATTATTTATTTATTTCTCTTTTTGATTCTAGTCGCATCTCCGCCAGATCGCAGAGTTACAAAAGATGATATTGCGGTGTCCTCACCTGGTACATCTCCGAACGTTAACGCTACTGCGAGCTGCACTGGTACAGCATCCCCACGATCGCAGATTCCTTCTTCACCTGGTCGAAATGGCCAGATACCAAGTACGTACTATTATTAGCAAATTATATAAAAATTGAATAAGAATTACTGATCGGGAATTTGAGCAAGGGATACTATAAAATGAGAATCTTCCTAGACGCACACTAGTATCAATGCCTCTTAGTGTTATACCCTAGAGAATTCTACTGATTGTATCTCACGTCAATAGCAGTGATCACTAAACTAAAAGTGCACAAAGGCAAGCTTCCACTCACGACGCTCGGACCTCGGCGCGCGCTAATAATGACCATGCGTCGAAAGCCAAGCGTTATGAGTGAAAAAGTCCCCTTGCCTTTGTGCAGTTTTAAACCTTGACTAACGTGAGAGGTGGACTGTACATCCGTTGCAGCGAACCTGGCACTCAAAACCTCATGGGGGCATCCAGAAACGACTCTTTGCGCTCTTTGGTACGCAATCCAATTAGTATGCATAAGCGTCTCAAAGAATCATATACGATAAGGATCTGACGTTGGCCAAGCCGACCATCGGCTCAAAAGTGATGAGGGGCAAGGGGATTCAACTGCACGCTCTACCTCAGCTCGCGGCTCGGCCAATAACAAGGACGTGCCGAAACCGAGCCGCCATTACTACCAGGCAGAGCGCCGCAAAATGGACATCTTCCCTTGTCCCTCTTCACTTTTGATCCGCAGGCTGGCTTGGCTAACGTGAGATCCTTACAATACCAGAACAGAAAATCCGCGTGGCCAGGACGTGCGCCTTCGAATCTGACCACTCGAATGAGAGTGCCAGGTTCGGTGCAACGAACGGTACAAACATGTTTACCGAATCCCAAGGACACAGAGGTTCGGCTATTGTTTCCCGTAAAACCGAGGTGGAAAGTTCGACCGATTCCTCCTGCCTCTGTGCGACTTTTGCTTGAATATCGCTGCTATAAACGTCAGAGACGAACTGTAGAGAATTTCTAGAGAACACGGCTTACACTCGAAAGCCTCCATTCAATATGACAATTTATTAGATCGTTGAAAAATTTCAAGTGTAGAGGAACATTTGTAATATTTCAGTACTTGTCATGAAAGTGTTTTGGTTTCGTGTTGGTGGAGCTTATAAAGTTCACTTATCCCATTATGGAGACTACTGAGGCAAAAACACTGTTAGTTTCCGTGTTAAGGAACGTGCCAGTTTAATGTTCGCGGTGTTGTTTGTATTGCAGAACAAGGCACGCTAACGATAGTACGCCGAAGTTCTGGCAAGAATAAGAGTATCGGCGGAAGTTTCGAAGGATCTCCGCCACCACTCAGTCCTGATACTCTTTCATCCAGCCAGTCCGTCGATCTTGATGAGATTCTTGATACTGTCGATTTAACTACAGACACGCTACCTGCCGTTGACACGCCCGATGCTTGCGACAAAGCTGCCCTCAGGTACAGTTCTTTATATATTGTTTTTAAAGATTAAATTCAAATGTAAGACAATTAATCCCGAATAATTTCAAATCATTGGATATTTATTAATTTAATAAGAAACTTTTATTTAAAAGAGTATTTTAAATTCTGTCGTATTAACTATTTGTAAAATTACTAAATTATTCGATATCTCGAGTATTTTTCACTACATGTTGTATTAACTATTTGTAAAATGACTGAATTATTCAGTATTTCGAGTATTTTTCACTACATTGTACACATATTGCAGATAATGAAGAACTAAAATATATTATGAAGATATTATAAAAAGATATTCTTTGTTGATATGTTGTGATATACTTCATATTAATTTGAATATATTGAAATTAAATTTTCCATTACAATACTTATTATTGCTACGAAAAACATTATTATTGTTGTAGACTAAGGTGCTTGCTGAGGCAGCTCCAGCATGGTGAAATATCAGCAGATTTACTCCAACGAAACTTACACTATGCAGCACGTGTTCTCGAAGCCGTCTTCCTAGATGAAACCAAGTAAGTTTTTTCTCAAAATGTGAATTGACATATATATTTAGCATTTGTATTAAATAACATTCTGTCAGGCATTTCTATTATAGCCACTCGCAGAGAGCTGAGACTGCTTTATTGCGGAATGTATAATCCAATTAGAAAATTCGAAACATATTGTGTATCGATTATCCATTGTACAAAATATTTTGTCAGTATTTTGTAGCCGCCATTTTTAAACATAGACAAATCAGAAATTAAAATATACTTCCAATGAATACGCAACACATAACGACATAAAAATAATGGCATTGTTATAAATATTATTGTATTTATTCTTGTTAATTAAGTAGTATCTTATTTTATTAATATAATAATTATTTCGTATAGAACTCACGACTTTTGGAGATACGAAAAATTGATTTAAATAGTCAAATTATATTATTGTCGAGACTAATATCGTAGAACTAACAAATTTTACTCATAGTAATATTGTTTATAATGTCAGTAATTATTTAAAAATATTCTAAATTAATACGTATAGGTAATGTTGTTAACTTCATTCCTGTTTTTACTATGACCTCGAATTCGAACCATACAGACATCAAGAGCGCCTCTTTAGCTCAGTGGTAGAGCACTGGTCTCGTAAACCAGGGGTCGTGAGTTCAATCCTCACAGGAGGCAAGCGAATATTTTTTTTCCTTTTTTTCGCTTTAAATATGCTTCTATTTTATAAATCGTATATACATCGAAGAATTGTAAATTTCAGGAATTGTTTACATAATTATTTAATATAAATTTAGTCGATATTCAATGAGACTTACACGACACATACCATATGTACATATCGTGGTTCGCGACATTTTTAAATATGAAATATCATTTAATTTCGCGATCAAACGAATCGATTCATTTAAATATATTGTTAAAACTAATATTTATTCCTTCACATTACGAAATCAAATGATCAGATTGACAAACTGGAAGCTTAATGCTTTTCACTCGTCTGCTGTTTACGTTCTGCAATTCTTTTTTTAAATTTCTTATTTCCAAGGTCAAAATTTGTAAATTCAATGCAATGACGTTAACTTTAAATTTAACTGAATTTAACTTTAAGTTATTGAAACCTTTTTTTAAAATATCTGAACATTTTGCAAAACCGTAACGTTCTTACAGTCCCGGTGAAATTTCTAACGAATATTGATCCGAAACCTTGACCACCGTATGTTACAAATTTAACAACGAACAGAATTCTGAAAACGATCCAATCGTTAATTAACTAATATGTGTCAGTTCCATTGAACTTCTGAAAACAGTGTCGTGGTCAACCACAACACTGCCTACTATAACAGCCTAGTGCCACTTGTACATTTAATCGGATCGTAGCACCTGACGTCTTTTTATGCAATCTGTCAAGATTTTTCAGGGAATATTCCAGAAGCGAGCCCATTTGAATACAATTAAAACACCCAGAAACGGTTGATCCAAAACTATCTAGGTTTAAATGTAATTTCCAGTGCGAAACGTGATAAGATTCTTTAATATCTCCATTTATCCGGGACAGGGTCGATGCAGACTTCGACCCGAGAGACCAGTCGGCCGAGATTTCGAATTCTATGTTGACTCGATAATGATAATGATAATGATAAGGAAAACTGTAATGATCTACTGTTCTGTTCTCTACTTGACACGTGCACTAACAAGCAGTACCACAGGGTGAATTCAGGCGGGGTTGAGTGCTCTCGGTCATCGCGTAGGGGTGCGGGCCTGTCATCTGCATCCCTTGGAAGCGCCTTGGACTCGGACGGACCACAGGGCCATGCGGTGGTAACCCAGAAACGGAAGCTTCGCACCCCCGTATGGGCAAGGTTGCGAAATATTCATATTTCCGACCTTACGCAACTGTTCTCACCCAAATCAGAAAACCCAACCCGACATCTCCGATCCAACTACTGTTCGTCCCATGTTCGACACATCTTTCTCTCGATCATCGTCCGTTAGGCTCACGGTCATGCGTCGTTTGCTTGATCATTATTATCGGAGAATCGAACCTTCTTCCGACTGTCAAACGAAAACGTTTGTCCGGATCGAACTGAGGGTTTCGAAATAGTTCGAGTTCGACTGGATTGATGATAGCGAAAACTGGATACATTGGTGGGGGAGAGCGAAACGATGACACCGCAGAGATACCTTCGGGTGAACGTGCATGTAGCGTTTAGCGGTTTAGTTCGACAGTCTGTTCTTCGCGACACTTACCCTGCGACGGTTCATCTCTTAGATTTATGAACGTTTATGGATTGTTTAATATGTTTCATGTATTGATGCATAAATGTCTTTAATAACTGATTATGTATATATGAAAATTTCACGTTACTGAATATTGTATTGTTCGTGTGTTTGACAAGTTTCATGCTACATTGAAAGATAATATTGAAATATTATAAAATTCTCGTTAATTCAATATTCAATATTAAATGTACTGCTAATTAATGCAAGAAATCATGTCATTTGCATTTAAAAAGATCATATTACATAAAGAAAATTTATAACTTAGTTTGGTAAATAAAAAAGGATAAATGATAGTAACTAATATTTGTTAAAATATGTTAAGAGAAATCGTGAAAGAATTTTAGTAAATTAATGATTACTTTCGAAAACTGTATTTCATACAGACAATGTTTTATAAAGCACAAATTCAGACAGAAATTAAGTAAACGTTCAATATAAGTTTTGAATCCTTATTTAACAAAATAAATAAGGACTATAAGGGGGGAAATAAGGAAATTAAACGTAAATAAGGAAAATATATTAAACGATTCATGAATAGTTACAAGGAAGTATAATAGTAAAGAAATAGATTAAAATATGATTTCGAAGAATTATGCACTTATTTAGCATTTTCTGTTTGCTAAAGTCAGTAGACGATTACCAATACTATTTTCGCTCTCTTAACGTCAATACCAACGTACGTTATAATTGGTCGTAACACTGCAATACGTTTTCTTCTTGTCAATATCATAGTTTCAACCTTATACCATACGTAGCGTAGACCTAATGCACAAAAATTAATACGTTTCGTAGTACACGCTGTGTATCGATCGTTAGTAAACTCTATAGTAACTTCGAGACTCTTGCCTTTCCCAACAATTTGCACATGATTATAGTGCACGATTACTACCAATAACGCTAAGACCACAGGCAAGACTGTGCATAGCGATAGCATCAATCACAATCATTGCAAAACGTGGTAGTTGAAACAAAAACAAAATTAAAGATTCATTCGTACGCATTTAGAAATAACTACCTATAGGAATACTTGCCCTTGTGTAAACGACTCTATCATTCCTGATATAAATCGAAAACAAATTTGTACACTCGTAATAACGGATACAGTGAATTTTCAAAGAAATTAATACAAAACCACCTGAAATGGTTACATGATATACAGGACAATCGAAACAAACGATCAGGGTCTAGAGTACGCCGAACACATCCAGACACAGCATGATGACTATCTTGACCTGCCTGGCCTGTCTCTTTTCCTGTTCTAGCCTCTTTTTAGATCGTTCTAGGTGTAACCTGCTCACTTCTTGGATGACTGCCTGTTTACGAGCTGAATGCATCTCTTAAGAGTCGACTTCCTCCTATTGTCTGTGTTTCCTGCGTCCGTCTGTCAACCAAGTGCATGCGTATAGGGTGTACGCTGAAAGAGTCGCATTGTTTCGGAACGAGGTGTTACACGGAATGCTTGAACGTCACTAACGTAATGATAATGTCCCGACATCAATTCGCAAAACCGTGAGAGACTGCTAACGACACGGTGATTCGAACCAAAAGAAAAATAAAACAGAACAGAAAGAATATAAACGAATTAGACGGGAAAGAGCGCGTCCTAACACGTTTCTTGTACACATCTTTTCGACTTCGTGGTCGCCCGAACGTTGTATACGCAGGCAGACGTTTCTCGCTTTAGATACAGCACTGTCGATGTGATCTATCGTTAATGTGACACAACCTTTTTCTTGATGTTTGGAATTATAGAGACGCCGAGCGTGTGGAGTCAGCCGCTACTTGCCGTCAGGGTGTACGCCGTAGGTTCGTTCAAATGTTTGAATAACTACATTGCAAATGTCGTTCACGTTCGTCTATCGCTCCGACACTATTTTC